TTTTTTAAATATGTATAATGTCCCAATATGTAAAACCTTAAAACTAAAAAAAAAAAAAGGTTTGCTTTCTTTTTACCATTCCTGTCTCAACATGAGCCACTTAGCACAGTGTCGTGCGCCCCACTTGGGGAACTGTCTGTTTCTAAGTTTTTTGTTTGTTTTACATTTCAGATGTCGAACCCTATCGGGTTCACCCCGACCAAAGAGCTTCAAGAAGGTCCACTTCGTAAAGAACATGAGGCAACACGATATGCGCAATGGAAGGTATGAAGCCAAACATCGCCTCCCCGGAGTCGATACAAGTCCTCACTGAATAATGGAGGCTGCCCCAGTCAATGAACTGCAGTTTGGATGTTTCTCACATTACAAGCCACATCGCAGACAAGCAGGCCAGGCCCCGGCCACAGTTTCAGCTTATAGATAGATGCAACTGCCTATCCTGCACGTGCAGAGGAACCTGATGAATTTTGATGTCAATCTTTATTTGATCACTGTCACAAATTCTGTAATCACGCCACAAATCACTCGCTACTAAATTATAAGATGACTGTGCTGTAGCATGAACGCAGCACGCAAATCTTTAAATGCAAACAAATTTTGGCAGAAATGTTCTGATGTTGAAGTTGAGGTCAACGTATCTAGGGAGCGTTTCTGTGTAATACTGACGGGGTGACTCTTATTATCACTGCCACTTCGTTTGGATTTAGACGAGAGTTCAGTTAGCTTTTATTTATCGGTGATTTGCGTGGCACAATCGTGCCCTGGTGATTTTCAATTGTCTCCTCTGAAATTCTTATCCAGTTTTCAGCTGATGTTGAAAGACTCAGCTTTTTGAGACCCTCGTGTGGAGTTTGTTTCCTGATGCTGATTTGTAGTAATAAGGTTCACCACGTGTCTGCGAGCCCGAGTTAGGAAGCTGGAATTATGAGGTTGTTGTAGTTAAAGTCAGAGCCGTTCTGCTCGCTGTGCTGTTGACCTCAGGTCATCGGGAAATGGGCTCTGATTGGATGCCTTAGTCATTAAAAATAAGGTCTTGTAACAAATGCATCACTGTTACACACAAACTGAGTGTATGTGCCAAACTGCAAGAAACTCAGAATAACACACCAAGAATGTTCAGTTCATTCTGTTACTGCAAACTATTACCAAGTGTAACCTGTGCATCTTGTCCGATAGATGTTGATTAGCTTGTTTGCCATTTTTGTTTTTGTAGGATAGTCCTTATCAGTGGCAGAAGATCCTTCTATAGTGTATTTTCTGTCCTGCCCTATCGAGATTGTAGCCAAGCGGGGTATGTATTCTACGGCATGCCGAACGTCGTAACGTCCTCCAACCTGTGCTTCCTCTTTCCCTTTGTTTTCCTCATCCCTCTTGTTTTGGTGGATGCATTTTTATCTTAATAGGTTAATAAAAATGTTTTTTGTTTTTTTTTAAGTAATCTAACAAGGACTTTAAGACTTAGATTGTGGCCTAATGCTTGTTGCTTGCGATACTTTTCCCGTGGTGGCTCTTGGGCACTCATCCTTCTTTGTTCAAGTCAACCCATTCTTGTCTGTTGCAGCTGTTGCTGGCTTCGCTGTTCAGCATTTAATATGAAGCCTTCCTGGTTATTAGAAATAGACGTTTTCGGTGTGTAGTCATCTGATTTTAATTCTCCACTGTGCTGACAGTCTAGGATTTCTATTGTCTGCACACTCATAACATGTTATTAACCACTTCTTTTTTAACTGCCAGGGTTTACATGTCTTAGCGGCGTAGATCTTATCTATAGATAATTTTTCCTGCTTTTCTTTTAAAGCAACATGAGCTCTGTGTTGGGGAGTTTAGCTGTTGTATGGCCTTGCTCCTGACGTGCACCCCCCCCCCCCTCCCCCCGCCCAAAGAATTACCGGTGTGTTTTGGAGGAAGCGAAAGAGAAAGGGCGACAGATAAACACCAGAGGAAACAATGCACAGAAAGAAAAGCAACACACCACGGCTTAGTGAAGAGCGGGGAATTTCCTAAGCCAGCCAAACAGTGCAAGGTCAAGGGTTAATAAACCTCCCGGGGCCGATAAGCACGTTTCACTGCTCCTTCACGCTAATTGCCCGTTTCCAGCTCGACATTGGCTGGGTCAGCCAAAACTCAAAAATATTTTATTAGACGACTTGTTACTTCAATTATTTATTTATTTTTAGAGTACATTCAGCAGACCGGTATCCCTTGCATCTTGAGTAATTTTGCAAATTTTCAATACAGAAGTTAAATACATGGTTAAATCTGCAGCTCAAAGTCCAGCTCGGACTTTCGTAAACTAAGAAGGTGGAATGCAGCAGGCTTCAGGCGGATAAACCTCAGGCTGTGGGTCATCACTGTCTTTTCATGGGCTAATTCTTTGAGTTCAAACACTTCCGTGTAGACTTTGCATGTTTCCTCTTTAGCAGCGCTGGATTCCAATGTTTCTCTGGCACGTTAAGGAACACTTCTGGCATCGGAGTGGAAAAAATTACATGGATCGAATGCGGGATAAATTTCCTCACAGGGATATTTGAAGTTAAAAAAAAACATACTTTGGAATATAATTGGAAGCAGTCACCCTCGACTGTTCGTGTGAACTATGAAGTATTTGTAATGGGGTCAAAGTTGTTTAAGCTGTGGTTATTTTTACTTTCTTGACGCTGAATTTCGAAGCATGCGTGACGAGCACTTTGCAAGAATTTCACCAATACTAACATACAGATGTTTGGCGCCAGTGATTCCTATTCGTGCATGCTGCTGAGCAGCTTTTCCTATCATTTCCTTTCATTTCTCTGTATTCTCAACCAAATGAAGCAAAACCTTTTTATTTTCTGGATGGCTTCATAGAAAAGCGCTCTCCCTAGAAAGCTTCCCATCTCTTCTTTTCCCCCCTTTCTTCTTTGATTTTCACTGTTCTGTAAGAGGTCCACTGCCTGGGGATCTCCGTGTCTACGATGCATCTGTCATCATCGTGTCCTGCCGTGCCTGTCTGCCAGATAACGCTGTTTTCATTAAAACCGATTGGCCCCACATGTCAACAAAACACTGGCATAGTCATGTGAGGACCCGCCGTGTCGTTAACGCTTTGTGTATGAACGACATTTTAAAGAGAATGCAAGACAAAGCAAAGGAAAGATAAGGGAGCCGCAGAAAAACAAGACGGTGTAGAGCCTGCACTTTCTGCCGCCGCTGTGAAATGTTGCAACAGTACAAATATTGAGATAAGGCTAAAGTTAATGTAACACAAACACAGGTGGAAATTTATCTGTCAGCAAACAGGCCACATTTTAATAGCTGTGGACTTTATTTCAACCCAAGGAAAAATGGGAGAACATGAATATCAGCTCCTGCTTAGAGCATTTTAATTTTCTACCAACCTTTTAATCACAAATCGCTGGAAAGAGTTAGCCTTCAGCTTACCATCAGTGTTATCAGTTATTCTTTGTGGCAGACTGTAAATGAAGTGGACTGCAGGCATGTAATCTTCTCTGTCACTGTACACAATTTAAATTAGCTTTTACTGACAGCGACCTAAAAATATCGCATCAAGTTAAATCTTAGCAGTAAACAGTGTTTACTTTAATTATGGTATATTTGATTTGGGCCATGTGTCGGTCAAGCTCCACCGACACACTTCCCTCCTTGGCCATCTGTTTTCTGCTTCAGGAGAGCTTTTGACCTACAAATCTCCCACAGCAGTATGGCATTTCAGGCAGCAGCTGAGTTTGAAGAGGCTTGCCTGCTAGAACGAAACCGTACTCTCCTCCGTCCTGCCTCCCAAGGGCGCACTTTATTACTGATTGCTCCGAGATGCACCCAAAGACACGAGCGGTTACAGAAACTAGGCCAGCTGATGAGCTCAGATCGATGCAGGACCCAAATCTGTGAAATGGAGAGTGTGTAAGTGAAGAGGTGAGCTAGAACAGGCCTTTGAAAGATTGCTAAGGAAAAGGAGTTTAAAGAAGCTGCAGGAAAACTTTGTATCATGAAAGATCTGTTTTTAAAAAAAAAAGTCTTGTGCTCGTTAGGGATGCAAAGCTGGAAGGAGGGCGTCAGCGGCATCCTTCAGGAGGCGCCAGGGAGATGGTGATTGGGCTGGAGGGAGTGGAGTTGGGAGCAGATGGAAAGGTGAGAAACCAGCAAATATGTGTATGTGTGTAAATATAGATTGGTGTGTTTACTGGGACACTTCACTGGATACTTGATACAGAAGTCTTAAACCACCACTCATTTCTTTATATCTTGTTTCCAAAAGTCAGACTTTGGTATAACTTTTAAAGCGGTCTTGAGCAAAAGTTCGACAGGCTTCTGAAGGTCTTTTAAAGTTTGTCTTTGATAAAAAGGCACCTAACTCGAGGGTGTCGTCGACAAATACCCAACAACTTTGCAAAGTATCTTTAGGAACTTTGTTACAAGTGCCTTACTTTTTACAAAACATATAAATTGTTCTCACTTCTTTATTTGAATCTACAAGAAAGCCAAAGATAACACAGCTTGAAAGGCATAAAATAGGATTTTTGCACCAACAAGGGGATTTCAAAAGAGCTATTAGCCAGAAACTCAGAGACAGGTGGAAAATAAAAGAAGTGGCTGACCTAAAACAAGGACAATATCTGAAATGCATGGCCTGAAGAAATGAGTAAAAATGGAGTCTAGAGCTACATCTGTCCTTTCAGTTGATCCATATACTATTTGCTAAAATTGTGTCAGTGAAAGTGTTTACATCAAGACATTTTTAGGGAAAGGAAACTGGGAGAAAGGGGCAAAATGCACAAGAACTGGACTGAAGATCATCTGCAACAAGTCTTATGGAGTGATTAATCCATTTTATTTATTTATTTATTTTTTGTTCAAATCGTCATCTTTATGTACAAAGGTCAGGACCGAGGTATAACAGTGAGTGTCTACAGCTGTCTGTAAAACATGGTGGAGGCTCTGTCGTGGTTTGAGTCTGCATTTCAGCCAGTGGTGTTTGAGATCTCATCAAAACTGATGGAATTATGAATGCATGAAGTGCAGTCAGATTTTGATCCTGGCCTCTCCAAAGCCAGAACGTCAACATTTTTGAATCAGTGTGTGATCGTCTCAACAGAGATTGGTAGCCAACATCCAAAGAAGAGCTTTGAATGTCCTTCAAGAGGTCTGGAGAACTGCATATATGTTTTAGCAAAGATTTCTCATTTTTCCAGCAAAATTTAAAGAAATGAGGGGTCGATCGAGACTTGTGGACATTATTGCACATACAGAAAGGCCAAAAATGGTTAAGGTTGGCTAAAAATGGCACATTAGCACCGTAATAGTTCAGAAGTGTTGTACTGTTGATGGACGTTAGCTAGCAAACTAGCTTGTTAGTTGCTAGTTGCTACAGAAGCTAGAATTTTATAAAAGTTTCTCCTCGCACAAATTACTTCCATTTAAGTATTAATGTTGGTTATAAACATTGTTTATTTTTCATAAATAAGGAAAATGAAGTGAAAGGCTTTTATTTTTTAGTGCTTAGCAAGATGATTTTTTTTTTCCAGAACCTAGTGCAATGAGCCTTTTTTTTTTTTTTTTTTTTTGGGCACTATTTTGCTGTCAGGGGAGTCCAAACGCCCCATGTGCAATTAAGCACATTAATAACAACTGCATTCCTTTTAGCCAAGTCAGTTCCAGTCTCTTGTTATTGTGTGTGATGTCTCATGGGTACGTTATACTGGGACACTGTTAGTGCTAATACTTATTTTTGGTCCTCTTGTGCTGGAAAACGGATCTGATAACATTGATAGGTTGAACGGGTTTAATATCAGAGCGAGCAAGTCTTCTTTTGGCTCTACTGAATAGACATAATAATTTGTATCTGTGTTTGCAGACTGTGTCGTACACCCAGTTCCTGTATCCCACTTATGTGCTGGGTGGCCGAAGAAACACAATCGACTCCACCTCGTCCTTCTCTCAGTCTCGCAACGCAAGCCACCGCAGCCTCAGCTTGGCCCGAGCCAACAGCAACCAGAGCAGCTTAGACACAGGTTGGTTTGCAGGCTTTACCTTTTCATCGTTTACTACAGTTAGGTCCAAATGAGGGCTTGTTTTTTGTTTTTGTTTTTTTGGCAATTTTGTCTCTGTACACCACATCAGTTTATTTTAAATCAAGATGTGATTGAAGTACAAACATTAAGCTTTAATTCATAGGGTATAACAAAAGCCTTGCACATCTTTCAGAGGCACAAAATGAATTGGACAGCTCACTGATGAGCATTTCTAGGCCAGGTGAGACCCTGTTATTCACGACAAACTGATTAGATAAAACGTCTGGAGCTGAGAGGCCGTAATTAGGCTAAAAAGAGAGAGAGAGCAAAAATCTGGCTCATTCTTAAAAAGAAGCGTTTCACCAGCCAGATCAGCAACAGCTACTGGTTACACATAAAAACAGGAAGGACAAGTTAGACTTTGTCAGAGAGCATCTAAACAAACTTAAAAGAGCCCGTACAATCCAAAAGAAAAATCTTGAAAGCAAGATTTCCTCATATCAGAATAGTGTACAAAATAATGATAATAATAATTATAGTCGAATAAAGTGAAAAGAAACAGTCTGTGATTCAACGCATACCACATTACCTGCTAAATGTGCTACAGGAGGTGTTGTGTTGTGGGCTTGTATTGTTGCCAGTGCAACTGGGCCACTAGTGTTTGTTTATGATGTGAGCGCTGATAGCAGCAGCAGGCTGGACTGTGACGTGGCCAGGGCTATACTCTCTGCTCAGATTCAGCCAAACCCCGCAGAACTGATGAGACGACGCTTCTCAGTACAAGTGGATAAGGATCAGTCAGTCACCTGATTGTTTGAGCCTCTGAACATGGGGGACTACAAATAAAAATGGCTGTTAATTCCTAAACATTTATAACTTTATTTTATTTGCTTTGCTTATGTGTAGAAAAACAATGAGTTGGAGCAAATCTGCCTCTTCTAATAATTTAAGTTACTTTAATTCAAGTCATTTCTTCACTTATGGCAACTATTTCTCCCAGTCTGGTATTCTTCTTCCATTTTCAGTCTGCATTTGCGTTTTTCCACCATAATCACCCGTTGTCTATAGCTCGGTGTAATTCCTAAACATTTAATGCCAAATATTTTGGGTAAAGTTGTCGAATTAAAGCTCAAAGTCCACATGTCAGTCACACCATGATTATTTGATCTTAAAATGCTCTGTGTTGGTGTACAAATAGAAGAACGGTCTCACTGTCTGAGCACTTTTGGCCCTAACTGTACATTTTTATTGAAAAAGGAAATGCATGAAACTCTAAATCTGACTCAACCTTCGTTGTTGTCTGCGTGGAAATGGCAGGGAATGATTTCGGGGACTTTCGCGAGTACGACCCTAATCTGCTGGATGACCCACAGTGGCCTTGTGGTAAACACAAGAGAGTCCTCATCTTCCCCTCCTACATGGTGAGAAAATACTAATCTAATTCATCACAATCACAACAGCAGCAGCAACTGCTGCCTCGTAGCCTCTTGAGAGCAGAAAGGAATGGTTGTTTTTATCCGCAGCTTCATTTGCTTTGAGATGTTTTGTTCAAATGTTCTGAAATATCTCACTGGTATTTTTTATTTATTTATTTTTATCATGCTGGGCTTCTGTGCTCAGTTTTCCCACCACAACAGAGAACAATAAAACCAGAAATATTTGTCTAAGGGTTCCTTCACCAAAAATAAAAAATCCTCAGTTTTATCTGCTTATTTAGTCTTTATCAGCAAGGTCACTGGATGAGATGCTCTCCCACCGCTTTGGGCTTGATAGGATGCAGATACTTTATCTCTGTGTAGTTGGCAGTAGCTATTAAAGAGCTACTGTGGCTCTCCCTCAACACTCAACACTAATCATTCTTTTTACTTTTCCGGAAAAGCGCGGATGTTTTATTTTGGTTTGAAAAGCGGGGGGAAAAACAAAACGGCCCGATTCCCTCCTCATTCTTTCCGGGGTTCAGTTTTCGCTGTGGAGACTGGCAGAATGCACAACGAGTACTGACATAGTTGAAATGTTAGTCAAGGCCAGGCTTTTTTTTTTTGTCCTCTCTTCCTCCAATTACTCTTGACAACAATAGCTATTGTGTTTACTACCGCAATGGAAGCAGTGAATTCTCAGCACTTCAGGAATTGGACACAGGCTGCTTGGGAGACCTGACTGACAAGCTTTCAGGTTCAAACAGGGGATAAAATTATCTGTGCATGTTCAAAGTCTTCTTTGTATTTCCGGCGACGTTGCATAGTAAATGGGTTACACCCAAGGAAGGTTCCCTATTTGGTCCTATCAGCTCTCAAACTACAAATTCACCATCCCAGAGCAACAAAAGCAATTTTGTTTATGGACCTTTAATCCTGGGATTAATAGACAGGCCTCGACAGGGATCTAACTCCTAGCCCAAACTCACACCCACACATTAAGCTCTCCCAGTGTGACTCAGCGCTTGTTATGGCATGCTTTGAGTATGATGTGGCTAAGGATTGTTTAACAGACATTAGAAAGATAATAGAAAGGCAAGTTTAAAAAAAAAAAAAATAAACCATATAAAACTGAAAACTAAGAATAATTCTAAAATAAGATGGAAAGATGCAGAGAAACTGAAAATCCTGCTTTTAGCAGCAGAACCATCTGTGTGGGATTGACTGCTAAATAGTCTGTGGCCGTCATGATGAATTAAAATTTGGCCAAAGGCATCAGTTTATCTTGTTACTGTCTTTTAATGCTACTTTTTGTGACACGGAGCAATTTAAAAAAATTTACAGTCTTGGTTTTTAAAAAAAACAAAACACAAAAAACCCAAAAACAGACCACACACTCTTTCATCATTTCTATGGCTTTATGTGTCAGGACATAATAAAAAAATTAATCTGGTCTCTACTAGGTTCTAAAATCATTTCATATGCAACCTCAGAAGAACAACATATTATATAATGTCATTATTTATTTAACGAAGGCAAAGTCAAAATGCAGAAGCAGTGTGTGAAAAATTAAATACACCCTCACTGCTTCCATAGGAATTAAGAGGGAAAGCAGCAGCCAGGTGGTGCTGCTCTAATGCACTCGATTAACTGATTCTCAGCAGGTGTGAACACCTCCTACAAAAGCTAAAGTTTTGGCAGTTTGCTGGCCTGGAGCATTTAGGTGTGTGTTAACACAATGCCGATGAGGAAAGTCACCAGCAATGGTCTTAGAGAAGCCTTTCCAAATAATTTGAAGTGCTATAGTGAGAAAGATTACTTATTATTAAGTGTAAAACGTTCAGGACAGCTGCCAGTCTTCTAGCAAGTGGATGTCCCAGCGAATTCACCCCAAGGTCAGAGCGTGCATTGCTCAGAAAAACTGCAAAAAACCCAAAAATCCTACAGCCGTTGGTTAATATGTTAAATGTTAAAGTTACTGACAGTACAATTAGAAAAAGACTGAACAAGTTTAGCTTGTTTAGAAGACTTACCAGTCATGCCAGGAGAAAACGGACGAGACATAATTGGAAATTTTTGTGGTTGTTTTATTTGTTTTACCGTGGTGCTGTGCATTGTGGCCACACACTTACTGCCATACTGCCAACTGTCAGGCACGGTGGTGGCGGGGTGATGATTTGGGCTGTAGGACAAATTGGGTCATGCAACAGGACAGTGATGCCAAGCACAGCAGCAAACCTACAAGTTATTGCTGCTCTGCAACTACAGCTTTGCACACAGCTGCTCCTGCATTTAGTTTTTTATTTTTCTTCAAAAAAATATTGGCACGGTATAATGTATCATGTGCGGTTGTTTTTCTGAGGTTGTATTTATCTAATTGTAAGGATGGAATTTTTTATTATTATTATTATTATGTCCTGATATTGAAACTTTGGAATTGAAAGAATGTGGACTGTAGACTTGAATACAGTCAGACTTAATCTTTCAAAGTAATTTGTTCACTTTTAAAAAGAGATAAAATATCACCAGTGATAGAGGTGACAGCAGTGATGTGGGCATCCAACACTGAAGTGTTAGGATTAATAACTCGATTGAAAGTGTGGTCATTTTGACACCACCTCTGGTTTTCTTTTCCAGACTACGGTCATCGAATACGTGAAACCCTCTGACCTCAAAAAGGACATGAATGAAACCTTCAAGGAAAAATTCCCACACATAAAGCTGACACTCAGCAAAATAAGGAGGTAAAACAAACACCACACAAAATATATTCACCTTAACAGAAGCTCTTTTGTTTTCTTTACCAACTTCTTTCTCTTCATTTTCCTTCCTTGTTCTTTTTTTTTTTTTTTTTTAACTCTGCAGCTTGAAAAGGGAGATAAGAAAACTGGCCCAGGATGAGTGTGGCTTTGAGGAACCGACGGTGGCAATGGCTTTCGTCTACTTTGAAAAACTCGTTCTTCAAGGCAAACTAAACAAGCAGAACCGTAAACTCTGCGCTGGAGCTTGTGTCCTGCTGGCAGCCAAGATCGGGGGTGATCTGAAGAAACAGGAGGTCAAACTTCTTATAGATGTAAGCTTCCTCATGCACACATCCAACCCTCCCCCATCCAACCCCAATGTTTAATTACAGTACAAGAGATTAAAGGGTCAGTTCACTCAAATCAAAGGGAGAGGGCTTTCTTTCCAAATATTTGAGCATCATTTTTCACTGCTCTCAGTGACAGAGTCCACTGGGCTGGGTGTGGGTAGCAGATGAGGCAAAATCGACCCCTCAGGGTTCAAGTATAACTTTAAACAGGCTACACAACATAACATAATGGAATAAAATCATCTGTAATAAGCGGTCTACAAGATAAAGTGTTTAAAAAACTTACTAATATTTAATTGTGAGAACAGGGCCTGAAGCTCGAATCTCTAAATAGGAGAGCTTTTTGTTTTTTTTTCCCCCTACAGGGTAACACATTGCTAGTCTCTTCAATGCTTTAAACAACAGCTTTGTTTAACTGGGAATCCAAGGGAATTAGTGTTGAACCCTTAACCTCTGGTTGGGTGTGGTAAGCTATGTGCTGAGTTGCACCTGGCAACCTGGTACCTGGATGCACACCCCACCCAGTTTCCCAGGGTCCTAAAGTCCACCTCAACATTACCACAGCGGCATAATAAAAACAAACCTTTTAAATATTTTTAGTTTTCAATGTGTTTAATCTCCAAAAAGTGCAGTTTCAGGTTTTCAATTTCAAGTGAATAAAAGAAGTGCATCGTATGATTATGAGTGAAGGAAATATTTAATATATAAAGCCCTGTTAGAGTAGCAAATGCTCCACTTTTTGTGACCATTTGTTGGCTTCTTGCACACGGTGACTAAATATAAAGCCTTCACTTTCACACTTCTGAGCCAAGTGTGCTGTGAGCAGTGCAGGGCCAGGTGTTACCACATCCAGGGTTAAAAATAAATAAATCAAAATAAGAAGATTATGAGTCGAGAAGCATTTTTTTTTTTCCTCTCACACTAACTTGCTTTATTTTTCTGCCAGAAACTGGAGGAAAGGTTCAGAGTGAACCGCAGAGAGCTGATAGCCTTCGAGTTCCCCGTGTTGGTGGCGCTGGAGTTTAATCTGCACCTGCCAGAGCACGAGATCATGCCTCACTACAGACGCCTCCTGCAGACCTCCTAGCATTAGTGATCCATCAGGAGGACGACCGCCAGGTTCTCCTTCTGATCTCCCAGCTTTCCAGTTACCACAGTATCCATCCTCTGTCTTCTCTCCTCGTCTCTGTTTGATCACTTCAAGGTACCTCTGGCTGTTGGCGAGCCACAGCCACTGATCACTACAGACAGCCCCCTCCTTCCCCTCGTTGGACCGACATCAGCCAAAGGGACACGTGTTTTTAAGCAAACTTTCCTCCACTGTTTGACTTCTGCATTCGGCATCACTACATGGACTGAAAGAAAAGGGTTCAACTGTCTGGAAGCAAGCTGGTTTTTCTAGTTTGCATCTCTCACATCGCATCCTTCATCATTTTGTATTCTTAGTCCTCATGTTGACACGAGGCTCTTTTTAAAAAAACAACTGAATCTGATAGTGATCTTTGTCAGTTAAAACAATCTGTGATTGTAACAATTTGATCCTTTCTTTAATCTTTTTGTAAACTTTTTATGATTGGTTGCCTCATGAGCTGCATACAATTTAAACAGAAGCCTTTTAAGAGGCTGGTTTTGTGGCTGGACTGTTATTCCTCAGCGTGAATCATCTTTTCATTAAAAGTGCACTTTTTTTGAAGAAGACACTGGGGCAGGGTGACAGTTTTTCAGACTTTTAACAAGCTTGAGAAGTAACCCTGAAGTAGCCCCTGCTGAAAAGTACGTGGTCTTCGTAAGCACTGTACAGAAGACATTGGAACGGACCATTTAGTTTTTATTTTCTCCCTCTCTCTTATGGTTTATTCACAGTTTTCCAACCACAGTCTGCATGAATAGTAGTGATTCTTTGTACGCAGGTACCTGCCGAGAAGTTTCGACTTCCCATTTTTCACTGAAGTGTTCCATTCATTTTTCTACCACAGACTGTCTTTTATCAGAGTTGAATTTTCTGTGCTCTACGTTAGAGTGTATCGCTAGCACGTTTACAGTGCTTTAACAGATGCTTGTTCTGAGGACACGCTATTGACCAGTGATCAGTATCAGCAGGATGCTCGGGTGCCGAGAGGACATGCCAGTAACTATAAGTGTGTTTGAGCCCCTACAGGCTGCAGAGATGCATCTCTTTAGCTGACCCTGACCTCTGACCTCTCTCTGATCTCTGCAGAGGGGAAAAAATCCAGGCAAAATCTCACGTGGGATCTAGTCATAGATCAAACATTTACGTATACCTTGAATCATCATTTGATTTGAAATCCACAATGTTTTTTATTAAAAAAACAAAAAGTACTGAACATCTCGACCGCCGCGACCACTTAAAGGTGATTCATTCCATTTTTCTGGCATGTCACTTTCACAACTTGATCTTTTTGCTTCCTACCTTGCACTTGTCTCACACACTACCACAGAGTG